ACAGGGAGCACCTACCACCACTGCGGGCACTCCCCGAGCTGCGGGGCTTGGACACGGAGCCCACACCATCTTGAAGGAGAGAGCAGTCTTTTCTAGGAACTCATCAGCACCACCACCCAGACTGGCCTTGGACACTGCCCGTGACCCTTCAGCCACTTCTGCCAAAATCCTGATGCCCCACCAGCAGACCTGCAGACCTTAGGCCATCCACCTCCAAGGACACACGGCTCCCACAGTAGTAAGTGCAATTTCCCCTCTCCATAGCTGCTGACCACTGGATAACTCAGTTGCACCTCCTGAGCCCACTGCCCCACAGACCTCTCTTGGGTGCCATTTGAGCCCCCACTGGGCACGTTTTTATCTAAACAAGGACGCATAGCCCTGGCAATAGAAATTCTGAATTCTCCCTTCCCCAACTGCCTGCCCACAGACACCTCAGTCATGCAGCTTCAACACCAGGGCATGAGTGCACCACCCTGGCAAATGAACTGTGGGTGCCTCCTGAGCTGCCCCTGGGCGTGTGCAAATCCAACCAAGGATGCAACACACAGCAGCAAAAACTGAGTCATCCCACTCCACAGCTGCTGACCTCTGGATACCATAGTCACACTTTTACAGTGTGCAGGCCTCCTGAGCACACTGCCCCAAAGGTGGCTCTTGGGTGCCTCTATGAGCCCCCACTGGGCATGCTCTTATCCAAATAAGGTGCATAGCCCCTGCAATAGAAATTCTGCATTCCCCCTTCCAGGCTGCCTGCCCACAGACACTCAGTCATGCAGCTTCAGCACCAGGGCCCCTCTGAGTGCGTGAGTGTGCTGCCCTGGCAAATGGGCCCAGGTGCCTCTGTGAGCTGCCACTGAGCAGGCATGAATCCAACCAAGGGCACAAGGCCCCAGCAGTAGAAATTCTGAATTCCCCCACTCCTAGCTGCCTGCCTATAGACACCTTGGACATTCACCTTCAACACAAGGGCCCCTCTGAGTGCACCGCCCTGACAAATGGCACCTGGGAGCCTCTGTGAGCCACCTTTGGGTGCACGCAAATCCAACCAAGTTTCCAATACCCGGCAGCAAAAACTGAGCCTTCCCACTCCACAGCTGCTGACCTCCAGACAGCACAGTTGTGCTTTTCCAGCACGCAAGCCTACTGAGCCCACTACCCCAAGGTGACTCTTGGGTGCCTCTGTGAGCCGTTGCTGGGTGCACTCCTATCCAAACAAGGATGCATAGCCCCAGGCAATAGAAATTCAGACCCCCCCCCCACCTTCTGGCTGCTTGCTCACAGACACCCCAGTCATCTGGTTTCAGTGCAAGGGCCCCTCTGAGTGTGCTGGCCTGTAAAAAGCTCCTGGGTGACTCTGTGAGCCACCACTGGGCGCATGCAAATGCAACCAAGGGTGCAAGGCCCCATCAGCAAAACCTGAATCTTCCCATTCCACAGCTGCCAACCTCTGGACACCGCAGTGGTGCCTTTCTGGTGTGCAGGCCCCCTGAGCCACACTACCCCAACAGACAGATCCTGGGTGCCTCTGTGAGCCCCTAATGGGCAAGTGCATTTTCAACTAAGGGTGCAAGGCAGCAAAAATTGGGACATTCCCCTTCCAGGTCATTGACTCAGGACACCGCATTTGCACCTTTCCAACAAGCAGGTTTACTAAGTCCACTGCTCCTATAGGCGACTTCTGGCTGCCTCGTTGAGCCCTGGATGGGTACACTTATATCCAAATAAGGGCACACGGCCCTGGCAGTAAAAATTCAGACTTCCCCCTTCCCAGCTGCCTACCCACAGACACTGCAGTCATGAGGTTTCAGCACACAGGCTGCCTGAGGCTACTGCCCAAGCAGGCAACTCCAAGATGCCTTGGTGAGCTGCCACTAGGTGCACTCATATCCAACCAAGGGCTCAAGGTCCAGTCATCAGAAACTCGGACTCCCCCTCCTCAGTTGTTGACCTCCAGTCACTTCAGTTGCACTAATCCAGTGCACAAGCCTCTTAAGCCCACTGCTCTGGCAGGCGGCCACTAGGTGCTTCTCTGAGCTGCTGCATTGCACAACCCTGGCTTCTGGCATCTAGTCCCAATGGTATCACTGCTCTAGCACAAGGGCCTTCTGAGCTCACTGCCCCAACAGACAGCCCCTGGGTGCCTCTGTAAGCAGTCATTGGGCATGTGTATCCAACCAAAGGCATACATCCTCTAAAGCAGAAACTGGGATTTCTCCCTCCACAAGGCTGGTGGCACACGACAATTTCTCTGATCCAGCATGTGGGCCCCCCAAGGACACCCCCCTTGCAAATGGCTCCTGGGCCCCTCTGTGTGCTGCCACTGGACATGTGTCTCTCCAACCAAGGGTGCACAATTCCCTCACCAGGATCCACAAC